CAGAGGCAGGCGGATCTCTGTGAGTTCAAGGCCAGCCTGGTCTACACAGTGCATTCCAGGACATCTGGGGCCACAGGGAGACCCTGCTTCAAAAAGACCAAAAAAAAAAAAAAAAAATGAAAGTTTACCAATGGAGAAAGCACAGCCACTCCATGGAAGCGAATAAGTGAGATACTTTCTGACTGAGCAGGCAGAAAGCTCTCTGTGGACAGTGACGCTTCCTGAATTCTGGCAAGAGTTTTCTCACAGAACTCCTCGTATTCCTCCATCTTCTCACGATCATACTGCAAGAAAGAAAAATACTATTTTAAATGTGTCAACAAAAACAGATCTTAATTATTTGACAAATTTTGTAGAGCACAAAATATTCCTAGAATTCCCAAGTCCTAGAATACAGAAAATCTATTGGCTCTGAAATTAATTTTACTGTTGAAAACCAGAATGGTCACTAAGCAACTTAAAACAATCAGCCCAATTTCACAATTTCTGGAAAACTTTGATTGGGGTTATGAAAATGCCAGGTAATAAGGATTCGTCATCACATTCCTTCTTTTTAGCAAGTGCTAACTACTTATTGGCTGTTTTGTACAGCATTGTGCAGCCTGGCACCTTTAAGGCTAGGGAAAATAACAAAAGGAACATTATCAGAATCATAACCAGCAGGGGAACTGGTAAACCACAGAAAGGGAATCCCTGATGAAATAATGTTCCTTTAAATGTACATTTTTAAGACAATTAACTACTTAACAGAAAAAGACTCGACTAGGAAATTTAATCCATGATGTGGGATGTATGCAGACATGAAATAAGAAAGAGACACAGTGCTCTCCTGGGCCTCTGCAGACATAAATTTAGTATACTTAAAGTGTCAGGGATGAACTGGAGTACAATTAGACATGAAGAAAAATTATTATTAGGTTATGAAATAACAAGATATATTCCAATAATTAAGCAAAAAAACTTCTATCAATTGTAGCCACTCAATTTTTACAAAGTAAGTTTAATTTCAAAGAAATGTTTCTTGTGGTGGTATACGCCTCTAATCCCAGCACTGGGGAGGCAGAGACAGGCGGATCTCTGTGAGTTCAAGACCAGCCTGCTCTACATAGCAAGTTCCCAGACCAGCTGGGTCTACAGGGAGACCCTGTCTCAAAAGGGCCAAAAAAAAAAAAAAATCAAAGAAATGTTTCTCTAGAGTGTTAATGAGATTGTTTTGCAAAAATATTCATTTTTTAAAGAGCAGAAGGAAAAAGCAGCAAAGCACTCTATGGCATAATTGATTTGGATTCTGTTTCAACTCACATTACAGTATCTTAACCAAAATTTGCAGTAGCTAAAATATGAAAAAGGTCCCAATAAACACACTTTTGCTAAAATACAAAAAAAAAATTAAAAAATACTTGTTTTAAAACACATCCTTTATAGCCACCATTAAAGGGCATGCCAACAAATTTGTATAAATTATCATTTCTATGCATATGCAAACAAAGCATGAAATTCAACTGGAAAAGTCTGGAAAATCTAATGACATAACCTACCTTTATAACAATTTTTTTATAACAACATCAATTAAAAAATACTTGTTTTAAAACACATCCTTTATAGCCACCATTAAAGGGCATGCCAACAAATTTGTATAAATTATCATTTCTATGCATATGCAAACAAAGCATGAAATTCAACTGGAAAAGTCTGGAAAATCTAATGACATAACCTACCTTTATAACAATTTTTTTATAACAACATCAAAGAGAGATATCTCATTGCTTCTGAAAGTTATTCACAGCCCTTGAGAAGTCCACACATGTCCTATATACTGCAGGTGTATAGTAACATCATTATGACAGAGTGGCTTTCAACATGAAAATGCCTGAGGCACTTGGGCTCAAGTGCTAATATGGAGATCTGAGGAAGTGCCAGGTGTCCTCGGTGCATGACTGGGTCCTTCATATACTTCAGTTTCAGCTTAATGTCCCCTCCTCAAAGAGGCCTTCCCCCATCATCCCATCCTAATTCTTCTGCCTCAGTCACTATCACATTACCCTGATGTGTCCCAGTTTTCATAGCACTTACACTATCTGAAATTATCTCGCTGATTTCCTTGTGTTTTTCTGTCTTCCTCCACCAAAACAGAAGCTCCATATGAACAGGTACCTTCTCAGTCTTGTTCACTGAATCCCCATGACACACAACAGTGTCAGCACACAGTGGGTGCTTAATAAAATTGTTGAATAAATGAATTAGGGCAAATAGCTCAAACAAAAAAGTACAGTAGGACTAGCAGGAAGAATAGAATTCTCAGAATGGAAGCTTTGTGAATGACTCTATTCCCAGAGAACATGGTACCTCTAAAATGCAAAAGCAGCCATTAAACAAAAGTGAGTCCAGAGCTCATGATCAAGCAAGCGGCACTGTGTTTCTCACACCACAACTGCCACTTGAAAGCAAGATTTTATTTTAAGGGCATCTTGACGACAAGGGATCCCAACCACAAATCTGCTGCCCCATACTTTACCATCAGGCATTACTGGTCCGCTTCCACTAATACCAGCCGCAGCAGGTTTGGACATGCCTGTCTCCTCCATTTATACCTCAGCACAACTGACACTTGTCCACTGAGCCTCTTGGCAAACCCCGTAGACTCAGGGACTCCTATCTGCTCATTCATAACCCATTGCCAGAAACGTTACTGAAAAGGAACAAAAGTAACACAGATTCCAGACTTGCTGCTTACCCATCAGTTTCCACAAAGACTTAAGCTTCCTGTGGAGGCAGCAAGGGGTAAGATCTTTGCAGCAGGCACATGCTAGCTGTACATTCATGGCAAGGCAGATGCCATCCTTGCACCTCAGCTTCCTACCTGTAAGGCAGGGACATCAAGGCCTCTGAAAGCGACTTTATGAGAGTCCAAATAGCTAACGCACGTATGGCAATCAGCAGTACTGCAGCACATGAGGAGAGCGTCAGCAAATGGGAGCTGCTTTCCTAACGAAAAGGATAACGATTCTTCTCACCTGCCTATGAACTCCCGGTGCACAGCTACATTGTCTGGTGTTTGCTAAGATTCAAATGTAACTTGAAAACACGGGAAAGGGGACGAGGGCTTCCTCACCAAATCCATCTCTAGCTGGCTGCCATGTGCCTGAACTAGAGGTAAGGGGGAGGGGACTGGGATCCCAAAGAGAAGGGCAGGAGAGAAAAAGGGTGGGAACCACCTAGTAGCAGCATCGGGGCAATCAACCAGAACTAGCTGACTTCCTTAACCTCACACGGATGCCCCAGAGTGGTAAACGTGTGTAAACAGAGAGCGTCTGGGGCCGTTGGTAGTGGTAACCGGCGTTCAAAAATGGCCAGTGCGCACCCGGGGGACGCCTCACTCTCTCGCACCGAGGGAGGGAGAAGGAAATATAGCACAAGGGGTTCATCACCAGGAGGGGCTTCCCGGTTCCGGCCAGAGTCGAAGCCCCACGACCCACGCCCACCTTCCCCAGCTCCTGGGTGGATGACGCTCCGCCAAGCGGAGGGGGTAGCAGGACCACCGGGCGAAGCCAGCATCCGAGCATCCCCGGTCCCGCGACCACCGCTACCCCACCACGGTGCCTGCCAGGGCTCGAGGTAAGCCAAGCCCCGCCCGGGAAGACCTCCTCAGCTCCGCGGGGCGCCGAAGCCGTCTCGCCCGGTCTCCGCTCCACCTGGACCCGCCAAGAGGCGCGCCGCGTCCTCTCACACACACCTGGTCCCCACCGCCCCGTCAGTTTCTCTCCCCGCACCACCGGCCTCGTCAGGAAGCAAAGGCCTCAGTAGGTTCTGGCAGAGAGCATCTGGGTCCTCCGTTTTCTCCTCCTCCTCCTCCCCGCCATATTACGGGTCTCTCAGGCGGCAACGCGGGATCCTGGCAACCGCCGCCGCCGCCACCACCTCAACCCCACCCCTCAGGGGCGGTACTTCCGGTGGTTGCTTCGCGGACAGCTGAGACCGAAGGGCTTCCCTGGACTACAATTCCTAAAGTACATTGCGCGTGAGCGACAAGGAGGCGTGGTCTTTACGGCGAGCGAAATGCACACTGGGAAGTGTAGTCTTCGCTGCACACTAGTGCATCTAGCATAAATTACAATAGGGTGTGTAGCCCCAAACTGTTCCTTGAAGTTGCTATATTTTGTTTATCTTTATAGCGATAACATCCATCATTCACCGAAATATTTTCTCAATAAATGAAAAATGTTGCTGAATCCCAGATGCCAACACAAAGCCTTAATACATTTATGCTCATTTGCAAATCAGTAGGAAAATACGTCTAGGGAAAAGACTAACATGGTCAAGGCAGCAGAAAAAAGCTACAACTCTTTTACCGAAATTCTCTACCTAAATAATATATTGCCACCTTGCAATTCTTCATTTAATGGCACCATTTTCATTCTCTAATTTGGCTTTTTCTCCTGGCTCTCTTATTCTCCTCTCAGGGCTTATTTTTGTATGAGTGTTTTGAAGAGGCTATGAGTGGTTCTGCGGCAAAACTGAAAAAATTCTTGTACGGTGCCTGGTACATAAATCTTTTTAAAAGAGGAAAAAGTGAGCTGTGGCGATGGCTTAGTGAGTAAAGTGCTTGCCATACAAGCGTTAAGTGTTACTGGAATTTTGGGATCTCTTCGTGGTCGTCAGATGATGCAGGAGAAACTGGGGCCCCTTCCTGAGGTACTTAGTATCATTAATAAAATAATCTAAGAATGGATTAGGCTGGAGAGATGGTTCAGCGGTTAATGGCGCTGACTGCTCCTGTGGAGGACCTAGCACCCACATGGTGGCTAGCAACCATCTGTAACTCCAGTTCCAGGGGATCCAACACCCTCTTCTGACTGTACAACACACACATATGGAGGCAGTATGCCCACAAACATAAAATAAAACCAATAAATAAAACATTTTTAAAAAGAATTTAAGAATGAACTCAAATAGAGGATTTACGAAAATTTTATAATTTTTTTTTGAGTCGGGGTCTCCTTGTAGCCCCAGCTGGCCTGGAACTTGCTATGTAGACAAGGCTAGCCTTACTGAGATCCACCTGCCTCTGCCTCCCAACTGCTGGGATCAAAGGTGTGCAACACCACATTCAATCAGGGGAAAAAATTTTTTTTTCAACTATAACTCATTTTTTTAATTTGTTGATTTTTTTGTGTGTGTATATTTCATACAGAGCATCCCAAACAATCTTATTCATCTATATACCCACTTGCCAAATGGCACCCTCCCATACCACCCCACCGGAGCCCATATACTCTGTCATCCCCGTTACTGTCCACTGTGTTGTCTGCGTCCCCAGCCGTTACCCACCCCACCGGAGCCCATATATTCTGTCATCCCCGTTACTGTCCACTGTGTTGTCTGCGTCCCCAGCCGTTACCCAGTGCTTGTCTATCCATTGAATCTAGTCAGCCTGTCTAGAGATCCTTGTTTTAGGAAGATCATCTGTTCCTCATCTAGGAGCAAACAGTTGTCAATATTCCTTTAGATAAGATTGGGATCTGTTGTTCATTTTCCCAGTTCTGTGCTCGGTTACTGTCTGGGACTCTCTTGGGCCACCCTGGCCAACAACTCAAAAGAAGGTATCTCCTGTCTGGCATTGTTTCTTGTTATGTAGCCTTTACCTATTCATATACACTCTTAAAAATTATATTGACCCCTTTAATCTTTGGTTATACTTTCCTTTTGGGTGTTTAAGAGCCTATAATTGGCCCAGATAAACCAATTTATTTTTAAGGCTGCTTGAGGATTTGTTACTCAGGGGTCTCATGGGCTTGGGAGAAGGCTCTCCCTTTCTTTTACCAATTCCGTCTGTGTGAAGATAAGTCAAAGGTCCTGCTTGATCATGGCTGGCTTTTGTTCCATCAATCTATGGGTCTATTTTTGTGCCAGCACCATGTTGTTTTAATCACTATAGCTCTGTAATACAGCTTAAAATCTGGTATAGTAATCCCCCCGGCATTGCTCTTAGTGCTCAGGGTTGTTTTGGCTATCCGAGGTCTTTTGTGCTTCCATATGAATCTTAGGATGGTTTTTTCCAATTCTGTGAAAAATATCATGGGGATTTTGATTGGCTTTGCATTGAATCTATAAATGGCTTTTGGTAGGATGGTCATTTTCACAATATTAATGCTTGCAATCAATGTGCATAGGAGGTCCTTCCATCTCCTGATGTCTTCTTCAATTTCTTTCTTTAAAGAGTTAAAATTTTCCTTGTAGAGCTCTTTAATGTCTTTGGTCAGGTTTATTCCAAGGTATTTTATTTTTTTTGTGGCTATTG